AACAAACCACCGACTGGGAGGGTCCCTGGAGCAGGGCCTTTAAGGTCGGAGAAGATCCCCTCCTTTCAAGATGGGCTTGTCCAATGAGAAAGATGGAAATTCCGAGCGGGAGGTGGCAATTGCTGGAGGGTTTACGACCCTTTGTCTCTAAGCATGGTAATTTGCAAATGGACTTGAATCGGAATTACTAAAGATTCTCAGGACCCTAATATATATTGCCTATGTACCAATATATAATATACACGCTTGTTTCGATCATAAGAAGGCGAATTCATAGATACTACACATGGTAGAGATATATATATATATGTAAGCTGACAGGAGTGTGTTTCGATTATAAGTCTGCATAACAGTATACAATTTCAAAGACCAAATACACGATGACAATAATATACCCAATGACCTGAAGGATCATGTGTGTTCATTCAAAGAAAGGTTTTCCTATGAATTAATTAGTAGAAAAGTCCATTTCTACTCTGCCTCTTGCCCTGGGACATGCAGGGATTTTCCCTGCTTTGCATTCTTTTGGCCAATAAACCCAGTGATATCAGCGTTGGTTGCTATGCAACAAGGGGCCTGTTCGGCTTCCTGGGGTGTTACGCATTTCGGGGGGAAGGGTTCATGGGTCCTCATATGGCTTGTTAACTGAGGGGGCTTACAGAGTATTTGTTAAATATAAAAACAAAATATATATTGTGTGTTTGATTGGTCCAGACGCTACAGTTCTCCACATCACAACACACAAATCCAACTAATCCATTATAAAAAAAAATAAAAAAAATTGTCACCCTCCAGATTGGCTTGTGACACTGTGAAATTCACCCATCAGTTTTCAAATTTATCCATGTTTGGCACTTGACGGGTGTTCATTTGGGACCCTGGCCGAGTTTAATGATGGTTCAGCATCCAGGACACACACCAGTTAAGCAGGCATGGATAATCGGTCACTCTGACTGAACATAGTGAGAGTTAACACATCAGACAGGATTTGAGCTCATGCGTGTGAACGTAGGACCCAAAGATCATTCAGCCTGACCATCCCAGTCAGAGAAACACACAGGTTCAGAGAGCAGCCGCAGTGAGCCAAGGGAAACGCAGAGAACAGCACTCAGTCTAGTGTGACCTCCTTATAACACCCACTAATCTCTCTTTGTCTTTCCGCTGCTTTCTCAGCCTGTCTACCTTCCGGCTCTCTACATCTTTTTCATTTATATTTTGAGGTACCCACAGTCCCACTCACGTCAACACCGCTATAAATTCTCACCTGCCTCATCGGTATATCTCCATATATATTTATGCTAATGAATTCATGGAGTTGTGCTCCACTTTTCAAGAACTAGAAGCAAAGTTTTTTGTGGAAACACGGATCTTGCAATGACCCTGTGGCAGCAGCACAGATCGCAGATTCTGTTGGAGAAGTGAAAGCTGAAGTCATGTCCAGCCACAGGGTGTCTGAACAAATCACGTTCACACTTTACCGAGGTGCTTTGTGGTTGTGAAAGCACCCAAGCTGCGGTGATTTGTGAAGGCTTGCCCAGAACCCTATATGTCCTACTTCTGCCCAGCAGTCCACAAAGCTGGAAAGAGAAATGTTGTGATGATTGTTGCAGGGTCATTTATAGCTAACAGTTGCCTACTATGTGTATCTCTAAGTGCTGAATTTTGATTGTTTCTCTAAATGTTCTGGCTGTTAATTTAGCATGTGGTTTTCAAATAAATATTTATATTCTTCCTCACTGTTTCCCAGCTAGACTCCCCATCCAATCTGCTTGCATTGTATGTAAATTAATCATCTCTAATATTGGCCTGTCATGTAGTTAATTAAATGCTGTTTTGATACATTTTGTGTACCCCCCCCCCCCCTTCTCTCTCTCTCTTTGTCCCCAAGTCTCTGTGGGGTATGAATATGAATCATGTCCTAGTCTAGTGCTGTGGGAGAAGAGGATGGCTATGCTTCAAGGCTATGAGCTGGAACCTTCCAATCTGGGCGGATGGTCTCTGGACAAACACCATATACTCAACCTGCGCAGTGGTATGAGCCTCATGTTCTTGTACAGCGGCAAAATGCACCAGTTTTTTGTTTTTGTGTGTGTGTGTGTGTACTGGTATTCACTGTGTTATGGGGACCAAATGTCCCAACAAGTATAGTAATACCAGTAAATTTTCACCTTGTGGGGACATTTTTTAGGTCCCCATGAGGAAACAAGATTATAAATCACACAGAATGAATTTTGAAAATCTAAAAATGCAGAAAGGGTAGGTTCAGGTGGAGGGTTAGGGTAACGGGATAGAAAATACAGTATGTACAGTATAAAAACCATTATGCCTATGGAATGTCCCCATAATGAAAGGAATACCTGTGTTTGTGTGTGTGTGTGTGTGTGTGTGTGTGTGTGTGTGTGTGGGACCAAATGTCCCGACAAGTATAGTAATACCAGTAAATTTTCACCTTGTGGGGACATTTTTTAGGTCCCCATGAGGAAACAAGATTATAAATCACACAGAATGAATTGTTTTGAAAATCTAAAAATGCAGAAAGGGTAGGTTCAGGTGGAGGGTTAGGGTAACGGGATAGAAAATACAGTATGTACAGTATAAAAACCATTATGCCTATGGAATGTCCCCATAATGAAAGGAATACCTGTGTTTGTGTGTGTGTGTGTGTGTGTGTGTGTGTGTGTGTGTGTGTGAGGGGCATGAGTGGCAGTCCTGGCTCAGTTGATCCCATGATGAAATAAGACATACATTGTGACGTGTTAGACAAGTGATATAGTTATAGTATATGATGCACTTACTATAGAGAGAGAGTTTATGAAAGATTTCAAATAAATGCCTTTCTTTCTTTCTATCACGGTGTCCAAGACTGGAGTAATGGCTGCTGAAAATTCAACTTTGCCATCACAAGAAAAGTTCACATTTTAATAGATATTTACATAGAAATCAGTTATTTTAAATTGTAATATTCCACAATATTACTGTATTTACTGTATTTGTATCAAATAAATGCAGCCTTGATGAGCATAAGAGGCTTCTTTTAAACATTAAATCTTACCAAAGTAATATAGTGTACTTAAAAAAAAAAATGTGGTTATTATTTGATAAATATTTGAACTTTGATAATGGTTTGATAATTATGTGAGCTGTAATAAGCATTATACTCACTTAAAAATAGAACCTTAATTTTCACAGATTAAACCTTAAAACAACTTTTCTGGACCAGTCTCAGACCAGCTGAGACTGAGATTTGAGGCGAGGAGAGAGCCATCTCTCTCTGACACAGGAAGTCTGATGTGATGTAATGCCTGGCTGCTTTCAGTGGAAGAGCTTGTCATTTTGATCAATAATTTAATGTAATGCTCTGAAAATGTGGTTGTAATGGCTCAGGTAAACAGCTTTTACTAAAAATTGACTTTTGAATATGGCACTTTCTTTTTCCATTTAAATGGTTATTGTTTCTTTATTCATCTGACACCAGGCATCCTTCATAAGGGCAGCGGTGAGAACATCTTTGTGTCCCAGCAGCCACCCATCATCACAAGCATCATGGGTAATGGGCGTCGACGAAGCATCTCTTGCCCGAGCTGTAATGGCCTGGCTGATGGAAACAAGCTGTTGGCACCTGTAGCCCTGGCAGCAGGCATTGATGGCAGCCTCTACGTCGGAGACTTGAATTTCGTACGCAGAGTTTATCCCAACCTCAATACCACACGCATACTGGAGCTCAGGTACTGAGAAAGGACCAAAGGAGACTTTTGTTTTAAGGCCCGATCACACCCAGGATGATAACAATTATGGTCCAATTCTCACTATTAATTATGACTTTTGCATCAAACTCCTAAGTTGCTGCTTAATAATAGTTAGTAAGGTTGTTTTTAACTTTAGGTTTAAGGGATCTAAAATATGGTCATGCAGAATAAGGCATTAATATGTGCTTCATAAGTACTAATAAACAGCCAATATGCTAGTAATATGCATGCTAATAAGCAAATAGTTAATAGTGAGAACTGGTCCTTAAAATAAAGGGTTACCCTATAATGCTAATTAATTATAATTTAATACAGTTTTAAAAAAATCATTCTAAATTTGAAAGAAAAGCAGAGTCCTAGCCACAACTATAATGACAACAGCTCAAGGGAACAAAATCATTGGAATCACTTTCATTTTTCCAGCTAATGATAAATCATTAGCAGCCAATTAGAATTCATCCTGCTTTTAAAGTGGCAGACGACAAAACTGGAGCACATGCTTATAATAATCAGAATGTTATTGTGCATCGGTGTGGATGCTAATATAGTTTTCATTATAGTTATCGTCCTTAGTGTGAATAGCCTTTTGCATAACTTAAAGTACCCCTATTATGGGTAATGAAAGGTTCATATTTTGGTTTTGGGAGTCCTCAACAACGGGTTGATATGCATGCAAGCTCAAAGAACACTTTGTCTTATAATATACATTTATTTTTACATTATTTGCTCAACAACTCCCAAGCGATTCGTTTAACGATTAATTTTTCCAAACCCCTACTCTGTGTGATGCTAATCTGCGGTGATTGGTCCGATTGGTCTCATTTTAATTTCATCATGCCTGATAAAGCCGTGAGCGCAGTGCTGCTTTGTGTACAGTGTTACTGGGGAAACCACTATTTTACAGCTCCAAAAGTGACACCTAGTGGCAAAGAATTCATTTGCATTTTCATTCAGACCAAGCGAAAAGACCAACAAGTGGGCGGGCAATATGCTAATGTTTCATGTTGACGTCAACATGAAACAGCTTAGGATTCGTTTTAAAAACGACTCGCTTCAATGATTCAGAGTCGACTCTTTCATTTGAAAGACAATAACTTTATACAAGGTGCACTTTCATATTTAAAACTTTGCAGGATATTTTCATTAACTTAGAGCTGTGTTACACACTGCATGAAAGGTAATTAAATCAAATCCATAATAGGGGAACTTTAATTGTGCTTTTTTTGGCAGTTTACTCTTAAATAAAATATACAATATATATTTTGTCATATTATATTGGAATCATAATTGTGATTCTTGTTCTTTTCTTCATTTACAGAAATAAGGATTTTCGACACAGGTGAGCCTTTAACTTGATTTCTTTCTCTTTAACTTAAATTGGATTATTCACTGAATATAAATATAGTGATAGAGCAATACATTATGCCTAATTGTGTAATTGCAGCACTGACTTAGTAATGACCTCATTTTTCGTAGTAACAACCCGACTCATAAGTACTTCTTGGCTGTGGACCCAGTCTCTGGGGCTCTGTTCATCTCTGACACAAATTCTCGGCGAATCTACAAGGTGCGATCGCTCACAGGGGGAAGACTGCTGGCCGACAATGCCGATGTGGTGGCGGGCACAGGAGAACAGTGCCTGCCCTTTGACGAGAGGTGCGGGGACGGGGGAAAAGCTGTAGAAGCCACTCTAATGAGCCCCAAAGGTGAGGTTGAAGCATTGAAGAAAACCAAAACAGAAGCTAGATCTTATTGCAAGGGTTATCCCTTTCACATCAGATGGACTCACACTAATGTCTTCACATGTGTCTGTCTGAGGTGAAGAAATGTTTCTGCAGGCTGTCTTTACATCTGCTTCCTTTGTAGCAGTGACACCTAACATGGATAAAAAGAGCCTTATCCTCCAGCTGCTTCCACAATCACAGAGAACATTCAACCTTAAGCTATTAATTAATTTCTGAATGTGCTATGGGGAGTGCGAGTCTCCGGCTTCGATTATCGGAGTCTCTTGGTATTCTCTCTCTCTCTGTCTGTTTCTCAAAGATAATGTTACTTAATGTGGTGGCTCTTTTAACTCTCATGTTACAGTTCAGAGCTGTAAGCGAGCATATTTCTGTATTATACAGCGTTGGTGTTTAGGTAGATCACACAGAAACCTGTTGGCCACCAAGGCTGATGACACTGGCTGGACAACCTTTTATGAGTAAGTTGCCGTGTTTCTGTTTATGACATGTTGCCTGTACATTTAATTCTTTGTATATGCATGAAACACTTAACAGAAGTTTTATATAGCATTGTCTCCACATTCCAATCAGCCGAAAGAGAAAAGCAAAGATGTTTTTTTTCCCTAGCTAGAATGTATTAAATTGACCGTTATGACAGTAATGATATGTATAATGTTACATATCATATACGATTTTCTATTCATTACAGAATCATGAAAAAATGTATCACGTTTCCACGAAATTTTTAATATATATATATATATATATACAGTGGGGCACCCTTCCCACTGATAATGGTCTGAACTCCATTGAGTGGAGGCTGCGCAAAGAACTGTCCAAGGGCAAGGTCACTGTGTTTGGCAGGAAACTTCGGGTATGCACTCGAGATTTTAAAATCATTACTGTAATACATTAGTTTATCATATCAGTGCACAATGCAAGCAAAGAATCCTGCTTGATTATCTAATAGGTAACTAAATCATTTCACCAAACGGAGAGGTTTTCATATCAAATATTTGTGCAATTTGCAGGCACATGGGCGCAACCTCCTGTCGATAGATTTTGATAGGAACACACGGACTGAGAAGATCTATGACGACCACAGGAAGTTCACACTGAGGATCACGTATGATGCCCAGGGCAGGCCAGCGATATGGCAGCCGAGCAGCAGCCTTGCAGTGGTGAATGTGTCTTACTCCAGCACAGGCCAGCTAGTGGGGCTGCACCGAGGGAGTATGAGTGAGAGGACGGAGTTTGACCCACAGGGCCGAATTCTCTCACGCTCTTTTGTGGATGGAAAGGTCTGGAGCTACAGTTACCTGGACAAGGTGAGATTATAGATTCAAGGGAAATTAGGTTAAAAATGATGAGGATTATTGTTTTCCGAATTTAGAATTTTTAACTGGCCATTTTTTCTTCTTGTTTTAAGCGTGTATTTAACACAATTGAATGAGATTTAAGCTTAAAACGGGGTTTTAAGCTCTAAAATGATTAGAAATCAACAAAAAAAAAATCAAAATACATGTTTTATTATATTCCAGGTTGTTATTGTTACCTAAAAGTAAAACTATTAAAAATAATTTCTGCTAATTGAAATAAAGGTGAAATAAAATATAAATATTAGATTAAAAATGTACATTTAAAAAGTGAAATATAAAATATATAAAAGCATTTTTAAAAAATCAAAAATTTATAAAAATGACAGACGCACAACAAAATGATTACACCTCAAATTAAAATGAAAACTGAAAATAAAGTAAAAGCTATTTCAAAATATTACTAATTATAGTTTATAAATAATACTAAAATAACACTGGTTATAATAGATAGATAGATAGATAGATAGATAGATAGATAGATAGATAGATAGATAGATAGATAGATAGATAGATAGATAGATACAACACAGTATATTTCAAAATTCCTCCAGTAATCGATTTGTGAATTAAATTTTCCAACATTTAGTACAGAAACTCTGATGTATGATTTTATTTTGAATTATGACAGCTTGTTAAAGATTTTGTTGCTAATTAATATCAATGTGATAATGACATTCTGAAAATACCTCTCTCTACAGTCCATGGTGCTGCTCCTGCAGAGTCAGAGACAATACGTCTTTGAATTCGATGCATCTAACCGCATCACGGCTGTCACCATGCCTAGCGTTGCTCGTCACACCATGTTCACTCACGTCTCCATCGGCTACATCCGCAACACCTACAACCCGCCAGAGAGCAACGCGTCCATCATCTACGACTTCAGCGAGGACGGGCGCCCGCAGGCCGCCTACTTCCTGGGTACTGGCCGTCGCGTCCTCTACAAATACGGCAAGCTGGCCAAGCTCTCCGAGATCTTGTATGACAGCACAGCCATCACCTTTGGCTACGATGAGACAGCCGGCGTGCTAAAAATGGTCAACTTGCAAAGCGGTGGCTTTTCGTGCACGATTCGCTATCGTAAAATGGGTCCCCTGATCGACAAACAGATCTATCGCTTCTCGGAGGAAGGTATGGTGAACGCGCGCTTCGACTACACCTACCATGACAATAGTTTCAGAATCGCAAGCATGAAGCCAGTAATCAGCGAGACGCCACTTCCTGTGGATCTATACCGCTACGACGAGATCTCCGGAAAAGTGGAGCACTTTGGAAAGTTTGGAGTCATCTACTACGACATCAATCAGATAATCACCACTGCCGTCATGACCCTCAGCAAGCATTTCGATGCTCACGGACGAATCAAAGAGGTTCAGTACGAGATTTTCCGCTCTCTCATGTACTGGATGACGGTGCAGTACGACAACATGGGCAGAGTAATCAAGCGAGAGCTAAAGATCGGCCCGTACGCCAACACCACTCAGTACCGCTATGAATACGATGGTGACGGACAGCTCAGTGGCGTCAAGGTGAACGATTGGTCCACTTGGCGCTACAGCTATGACTTAAACGGCAACCTACACCTGCTCAACCCGGGCAACAGCGCCCGACTCATGCCGCTCCGCTATGACCTACGAGACCGCATCACACGGCTCGGTGACGTGCAGTACCGTCTGGACGAGGACGGTTACCTCAGTCAGAGGGGCGGTGACGTGTTTGACTACAATTCTAAAGGCCAGCTGGTGCGCGCCTATAGCCGTGCAGCTGGAGTATGGAGCGTCCAGTATCGTTACGATGGACTCGGACGCAGGGTGTCTACTAAGAACAGTCTGGGTCAGCACCTCCAGTTCTTTTATGCTGACCTGAACAACCCGACTCGGGTCACACATGTGTTCAACCACTCCAGCTCAGAAATCAGCTCTTTGTACTATGACCTGCAGGGCCATCTGTTTGCCATGGAGGTGAGCAGTGGGGAGGAGTACTACATTGCCTCTGACAACACTGGTACGCCACTGGCTGTCTTCAGCAGCAATGGGCAGATGATCAAACAGGTGCAATACACCGCTTATGGGGAGGTGTACCACGACTCCAACCCTGAGTTCCAGCTCGTCATCGGCTTCCACGGTGGGCTTTATGACACGCTAACCAAGCTGGTGCACTTCACACATAGAGACTATGATGTTTTAGCGGCCAGATGGACATCGCCTGATTACACCATGTGGCAGAAGATCGGAAAAGAACTGGCACCCTTCAACCTGTACATGTTCAAGAATAACAACCCTCTCAGTGATATGCTGGATGTCAAGAATTATGTCACAGGTGAGAGTTTACAATTGGGTTCCTTTGCAGATTAGCCAGCTCGTTAGTTATTTAGGTCTGTCAATTGTATATGTTAATTAAATGCTAGTATTGGTTTATAAAATACTGTGATAAAATAGTTTTTATTTTTGCTAATGTTCAATCATATGGAAATAAAAAAACAATATATTTAGAGACTGTATAAGGCAGAGATGGTCCACACTTACATAAGATGAATAGGAGAAATTATATGAAGTATATAATATTTTATGTATGTACACTACTATTTATACACTATACACTACTATTTATTAAGTCAAGTTAAATATTTCTGTTTCATATATATATATATATATATATATATATATATATATATATATATATATATATATATATATATATATATATATATATATATATATATATATATATATATATCTTATCTATCTAATATAACTATCTTTTCATCATAGAATCCTGATAAGAGTGTATCACAGTTTCCACAAAGTACATTAAGCATCACAACCATCTTCAATTGTAATAATATTTCACAATATTATATTGTTTTTATTTTTTGTATTTTCAACTTTGGTGAGCATAAGAGGCTTTCTTTCAGAAACATAAAAAAAATCTCTCTGACCCCAACTGACCCCTTTTGAATGATAATGTGTATATGTACAGTAAATAAATATTTGTTCAATTTTTTTTTATTTCTAAAGCCAAATTTAGTAAATTCAGTGTTTTTCTCTGCCACAAAATGTCATAATTTGGTCCATTTTCTCAACGAATATTTATCATTGTTTTGGCGTATAATGCAATTAATTTGATTAATTTATTATTATTATTACTTCATTCAGCCCTATAATCAGTTAATTGCCCTTTTTATTGCAAACCCCAAAAGCTTAAGCTTAAACTCCTTTTCTATGTATTTCTCATTGCAGATGTGAAGAGTTGGCTGGTCATGTTTGGCTTCCAGCTTAGCAACATTATCCCAGGCTTTCCCAGACACATACACTATTTCGTGGATCCGCCGTATGAGCTCTTCGCCAGTCAAGAAAGTGAAAATGGGCAGGTGCGTCACCACATTAATATCATAGTAAATCCTCAGGATACAATTACAATTACTTTTGTATTTCCAAGGGTAGCAAATCAGTGAATATTGGACTAGGTGATCTTGCCTGCATTTACCAAGATTTTCTCCTTGCAGCTGATAACTGGAGTTCAGCAGGAAGCCGAACGGCACAACCAAGCATTCATGGCTCTGGAGGGACGGCTTCTTGACAAAGAGCGCAAGACCAAACATGAGAAACCAGGCCACTGGTTTGGCACGAGTACACCCATCATTGGACGAGGAGTGATGCTGGCAGTGAAAGAAGGGCGCGTGGTCACAGGGGTCTCCAGCATGGCCAGCGATGACAGCAGGAAGGTGGCTCTAGTGCTCAATAACGCCATCTACTTAGACGGGACACACTACACGCAGGATGGCCATGACTGTCATTTCTTCGTGAAGATAGGCTCAGCTGACAGTGACCTTCTAGCTTTGGGACTCACCAATGGACGCTCGGCACTGGAAAGCGGGATCAACGTGACGGTAAGCGGTCGCTCGCGACGAGGGATCACCGTTGAGTTCCGGGTTCCAGCTCTTTCTCTAAGCGTGCGCTATGGTTTGGCGTCGGACGTCCTGGATGAGGAGAGAGCCCGGCTGTTGGAGTTGGCGCGGCAGAGGGCGTTATTGGGAGCCTGGCTGCGAGAGCAGCAACGGGCACAGGATAATAAAGAGGGAAGCCGCTTGTGGACTGAAGGAGAGAGACAGCAGCTCCTTTCAACAGGGAAAGTACAGGGGTACGACGGGTACTACATTTTACCCGTGGAACAGTATCCTGAACTAGCAGACAGCAGTTTCAACATACAGTTCCTGAGACAGAATGAGATGGGGAAGAGGTAACAGTCCAAACGTCTGTTATCCTGTTTCTTTATATTTCGCTTTCTCTCCGCTTATACCTTTACCGGTTTCAGTTTTTTTTTTCTCGATCTTTTTCTTTTTCTTACTCCGTCTTTCTCTTTTTCCCTTGCTTTTTTTTCCCGTTATCTCCTGAACCCATGGAGAATAATTGAACTAATGGGGAAACTCACCGAACGCTGCAGGGACTTTTAAAAGAAGAACATTCAAAAACTTTGTTAATACTGCCTCTGGCAAAAAAAGAACAATTTGAAAGACCTCGTCTTTGTTTTTCAACAATGGACGTCAAAAAGCACTGAGAAACTGAAAAACAAAACAGAGCTACTTTTGCTGAAATATGAAAAATCCCCTTTTTAAAAAAGAATAGATATTTTGACCCATATTTTTTGGGTTACCGAGAGGATGTTGGTGCCAGATGGTACGCTTGTGATCTGGATCGGAGAGGTGCTGCGAGTCTCACGCGCCGCAGAAGAGGCCCAGTCTCGACGTCAGAACTGAGGAGTAACATCCATCAAGAGAAATGTCAGTCTCAGGCCTCACATTCTTCACAGCTAAACTGTCAGTTGCCACTGCAGCAAGTCCCATCATCTACAGACTGTTTCTTTAAGAAAAGTCCAGTGGAGTAAAAGTGATGAAAACAACCAAGTCTGATATAGTGTGTTTCATCACTGATAGAAAAGTACTTGCATTGTATCAGATAACAGTGAAGTTCTGAGTGTGCTTTAGATGCGATAGTTTTGTACGTCCCAGTCGCATTAGAGTAACGAGACCTTCACCAGGACACTTCTGTATAGAGATATCAGAAAAAACACTCACATTCTCCAGATTGAAAGGTTACTAGTGTCAGAAACTATTTATTTTTACTTAGTTTGTTTTAATTTTTATCATTCATAGTACTCTATGACAATCATAAAGGAGTCACTGCTTTTAGCGACAAAGATAAACATTGATGGTTGAGTTTATTTTCCTTTGTACAATATGTAGTAATTTTTCATTTTTGTATTAATTTAGATTTTTTTGCCTCAAAGCAAATTCTAGTCATACACAGAAATAATTTATGTAAAGTGTTTTCAAATGGTTTATACTTTAAATAAAGTTTAAAACTGTGAAACTTGTTTTTCAAAATATATCTGTATGTACAGTGTATAGATTTACCTTTATGCAGCACAGTAGAATATTGTTCATAATATCAAGTTTTATATTTCTAACAGAAGGTGGCTTGTTATGTGCAAATCAACAGCTGGTATTAAAACACTAGAATTGTGTGACACTCAGATATCACAGATGAATAATATTGATACCCCGTTTGATGTTCTGTTTTAGGTTTTTTTTTTTTTATGCAGAAAAGTTGCTGTACTAGAACCCGAACCATAGAAATTGATTCTTTCCACTGTGAAGAGACTCATTATGGATGTCATGATGTACCAAATCAGTATTGAGGGATGATTCTTACTCAAGTGAGACTCTTCTGAGACCTTAATTGTTCATAATATCAAGTTTTATATTTCTAACAGAAGGTGGCTTGTTATGTGCAAATCAACAGCTGGTATTAAAACACTAGAATTGTGTAACACTCAGATATCACAGATGAATAATATTGATACCCCGTTTGATGTTCTGTTTTAGGTTTTTTTTTTTTATGCAGAAAAGTTGCTGTACTAGAACCCGAACCATAGAAATGGATTCTTTCCACTGTGAAGAGACTCATTATGGATGTCATGATGTACCAAATCAGTATTGAGGGATGATTCTTACTCAAGTGAGACTCTTCTGAGACCTTAACAATAAATAGTTTAATTCATGTGAGTTCGGCTAGTCTCATGTATTTGTAAATGTCTTCACACAGCTATTATAATATGTCATTTTTCCACATCTCATGGGGTGGAGAGTGTGCCATTTCCTTACAGAAATTGACCATGGTAAACTATAGTTTCTGCCAAATAACCAGATTTTACTGAAGTGAAACTTTGGTAACATTAACAAAATGTACCATGATACTGCAGTAAAACTATGGCTTTTTGGATATGCACAATGGTAATACTATGTTTTACTTTATTGAGCATATCCAAATGTAATTTATGGAAGCGCCACAGAATAAAAAAAGTCATTGTGATTTATTTATTTATTTATTTTTGGAATTCTATATACAGGTGCATCTCAATAAATTAGAATGTGGTGGAAAAGTTCATTTATTTCAGTAATTCAACTCAAATTGTGAAACTCGTGTATTAAATAAATTCAATGCACACAGACTGAAGTAGTTTAAGTCTTTGGTTCTTTTAATTGTGATGATTTTGACTCACATTTAACAAAAACCCACCAATTCACTATCTCAACAAATTAGAATATGGTGACATGCCAATCAGCTAATCAACTCAAAACACCTGCAAAGGTTTCCTGAGCCTTCAAAATGGTCTCTCAGTTTGGTTCACTACACTGTAAAAAATGACTGTGAATTTAACGGTAAAAGACCGTAAAAATGCTACAGTAAAAACCTGTTAAATGGTTAACGGTAAATTCCCCTACTATATGCGGTGAAAAACTGTATTGGACATTACATGTATTGGACATTAATTTTACGGTAGTATACCGTTTTTGGAAGTGAAAAAGACTGTTCAGATTCGTAATTCTGACTTTTCTTTCTCTTGACTTTCTTTTCTTTCTTTCTTTCTTTCTTTCTTTCTTTCTTTCTTTCTTTCTCTGACTGTGTCTGACTGACAGGCCTCTAGTTTTCGAGGAGCAGCTGAAAGTATAAAGGGAATCCGTTTTTGATCATACTGATTCTCTCCAGTGAAACCCTAGAAGGGCCTGACAAAAGCAAACTCAATAAAAACTTCTTTCTCTGACTTTATCACAGTTTCGAGTTTACATCTTGCAATTCTGAGTTTACATTTTGCAATTCTGTTGTTTTTTTGTTTGTTTTTTTCCCTGCCAAGGAATAAAAAAATAAGGAACGTAATTGCAACATTTTGTCTCACAATTCTTGCAATTGTGAGTTTATAGATCATAATTCTAACTTTATATTTCACACTTCTGAGATGGGGGAGTGGGGTCTGAATTGTGAGATTGTGAGTTATAAACTAAGAATTGCGAGGTAAAAAAAAAAGTCACAATCTTCTGTGGATACCTTATTACAGTACTATAAAGTGGTATTTACCATCTGATTCTATCAGTATACCATTGCACTCCCATACAATGTTGGAAGGAGATTCCATCTGACTTTATTATGGTTTGCAGCAGTAACAATAACCTGATAGCTCGTCAAAGGTATTTTGGTGGAATCTGTGCACTATGGTAAAGTAGGTGCTGCTTTGTTACACAATCAAGAATTCAAATTGAGCTGGTGATTATACCCTGTTGAAAAAAAACAGCATATGCTGGTTTTTTCAACAGGGTAAGCACTAGTTCATAATAATAGGCTAATAAAATATAGTTACTAGCGCACTTTCTATTATTATTATTATTATTATTACTAGTACTACTACTACTAGTAGTAGTAGGAATATTATTCAGATACACAACCAGTGCACAATTCGCAATGTAGCAATCTTTTATTTTGAAGCTATGGGTCTTTTATTGGGAAGTTAGCTCAAGGAGGGGCGCTTTCAAGGCAGTGCCTTTTTGCACGGCCAAGCCTACGGTTAGAGTACAGCCAATATGAGCTGGCTTCTGAAAACTTGAATGACAAGGAAGTGAAGGTGCGGCCACCCGGTGAATCTAAACGTCAGCATGGCAAGCAGCGGTGAGTGTGTTTTCGTGTAAAAGAAAGAAACATAGTTTTAGGGATTTTGACGTGTGAAACTGCAGTTTTGTTCACTGTTTCTGTGTACTGGAAACCTGTGCGTGTTGATTTCGAGCAGCAGCTGTTGTTTTCATTGCTTGTAGTCAGGGTGACAGTGCCCAGGTGCGCCTGTGCTAAACACTTCCGTTATCTCTACATTGTATTACTTGCAGTATAACAAGCTGAACGTTTTGTGCACTTGCTAATATCCTGCGGTGCCTGTTCTCTCAATTCCATTTTATGCATCTCCTAATATAATACATGTCTTGTGTCCTGGTCGTTATTTCCAATACTTGTTTGCTTTGAAGAGCTTTGTAAGGATGACTTGCAGAAATTGAAACGTTTTATGTGTATGGAATACAACACTTTCTTGATGTGTTTGTTATGTTTTAATTATTATTTGCGTGTAAAAACATATTCTGGAACATCTATAGCCTATATCAAAACAATTAAAATCAAAAAAGATTTAGTAGTCACAAGGTAACCAAACAATTTACAAACAAACTAATAAAATCTCACGTAAATGGTATCATTGGTGTAAAATATATATTTTTTTAGTCATCAAATATTTACCATGCTAGTTATAAAATATTTATAAACTTTAATGTTGTAGTATTATTTTTGGTGATTGCTGAGCTCAATCAACAGTGCTTATTGCGTGACAGGTCTCTAGGCATAACTGCTTGATTGTACACATTCCTCTCTGCTATAGATAAGGAGATTTCCTACAGCAATCTCAAAGATCTTTTGGCGAAGGGTTCGGGGCTTCTTGTGGATGTGCGCACTAAAGATGAGGTAGACAAAGGGCATATTCCAGGCTCCATTCACATCCCAGGTAGGAGAGAGGATGGACAAATATTTATGCGTTACTTCCAAAAACTAACTAACTATCTATCTATCTTTCGATATTACCACTTTTTAGGTTACCTAACAGTATTGTACATTAAGTGTATTGACCATGTGTACTAAAAAGTGTACTAACAGCAATTTCCCATGTATTTATTTGTTTTATTTTAGTGGAAAATGTAGAAAGTGACATGTCCCTGGACGCAGCTGAATTCCGGTCAAAGTTTGGCGTAGTTAAGCCATCCCTGGACAGCTCTGAACTGGTTTTCCACTGTCAGATGGGAAGACGTGGAGCTCTTGCCACAGAGAAAGCCAGAAACCTAGGCTTCAAGAAGTAAGAAACTTGGAATCATGAATGCTTAAACAATCACAGTTTTAACAAAGCTGTAACAATAATTCCTTCTCTCTCCTCAGTGCCCGTAATTATGCAGGGGGCTACAAGGAATGGTCAGAAAAAGGTGGCAAGTGACAATCCAGTCAGAACTCCTGGAACA